TGGCGCGAATGAAAATGGCGCAAAAGATCAGCTGATCGGCCAGGGCAACCGATGGCCGTACCCGCGTAAGACTACGGTGAACCAGACTTCGCATGAGGCCAAGGGAAATATAACCACGATACAGGTATACATATATATATATATATATATATATATATATATATATATATATATATATATATAAGTATATATATATCACGGATGTGATAAGAAAAATATTTAATATGCTCAGTTCGTTTTATTGTTTTGCTAAGTCCTTGGTAATGGAGGTAGGTGCACCGTGTGCTCGGGACAAGGGCAACAGAGGGCACTTTGAACGGTGCTTATTGCAAATGCTCTTGAAACGGGATGAGCGATGCAGTATGCCATAGGGGTCTAGCAGCGGGCCGTATGTAGCAACACAGCGTGCGTACCTGTTCGCGTGCGTACCTGAACCGCTGATGGGTACCTGTTGACTTGAAGGGCATGCGCTTAGAGCCTGCGTGAGGAGAGTTTAGAGGCAGCATGGCCCAGTACACATGTCTCGTGCGAAGGAGGCACCAGCTACATAGCATGTACAAACAACACTTTTCGGAACATATAATTGGGTTTTGCAGTCATAAGCACAACACGGTATATAATCAGATCCTCACCAAAGTGACATCGATGGGGCGTATGGAGCAGAGTGACAAATTGGGAAGAAATAGCGAGCCACGCTTTGAGCCGATGAGGTGATAAGGTGTGTCTTGTCAACCGACCTTGACCAGTGGCGGATCCAGAGTGGTAGGGAGTGGGGGGGATAGGGCTATGCCCCCCCCCCCTCCCCGTTCCTTGGGGCGAGAGGGCAACAACATATCATGGTCAAACTATCAAGGGGTAGCAAAATCCTCATTTCGAATTCACACGACCTTTATTTTCAACAGGCCTCAAAATGTCACGGGCAACACAAACAACCACACATATTTATTTTCAATAGGTGCTCAAATCCGCGTACACCATAACCGCCCCAAAAACCTTCAGTCTCCAAGGGCACCAAATTTCAGGGATGTAGCATCGTTGTGCCTCCCACCCTGTCGAAATCCTGGATTGGCCCCTTGGGCTAGGGGGCACCAAAAATGGTCAGTTTGGGGCACCATAAATTTCACTTACGGCACTGCAACCTTTACTTCAAAAAGCCCCTCTATCTAAATGGGCAATTCAAATTTCCCAAAGCTTTGGTTTTAAATAGGGTTCAAAACCCATGGACATCACTATATCTATGCCTTTCACACTTGGAAAATTCTCAATCTGCCTGTTCCATGGAGAGAGCACCAAAAACTTCATTACCGGACATCTTAGCTTTTACTTTCCAGGGGCACATACTTCCTTAGGACACCACAAAACAGGGGCGGGTCCAGAGGGGGGGGAGGGGCCATGGGCCTTTTTCTCTCCCCCTTGGGCCCAAGGAACGTTTTGATGCCCCGAAAAGACACCAGATCTCATCGCAAAGGGGCAACAATACATTCGTTTTCGGAACCACATAACCTATATTTTTATGAGATACCAAATTGCAGAGGCACCACGACGTTCGTGCCATGGTCTCGACGAAACCCTGCGTCGGCCCATGCAGTGAGGGAGCACCAAATCCTTCATTGCGGAGTAATGTAACCTTTTTTCAAGAAGCACCCAATTCCAGAGAGTACTAGAAAGGGTTCATTCTGAAAGAGCCATTAATTCCAGTGGCATAACTATGTCCAGCTTTCCGCCCTGATCTTGGATCAGACCCTGGGCAAGGAGGCACAACAACCGTCCTCGCGGGGCGACATCAGTCTTGATTGCCAAGGGGAACTAAATCAAAGCGGGCTATTTAAAAAGCCTAAAACCATTATTTAAAAGGCCGCCAAAATCAATTGGCGCTACAATCGCTGTGCCTTTCACGCTGGAAAAATCTGAATCGGACCGTTCAGGGGAGGGGCACCCTGTTCAGGGAAACAAGCACCAGCAGCCCCCGATGTCATTGGGGCTTTACGAGGATTCATCACAATGCCCGCGCTCCAAGGGTCCCATGGGTCCCGAATATCCTTTCTTGGCCCCTTGGGGCTGAAGATCAAGAGCCCGATTAAAGAGTCCGGATGACAGGCCAGAGGTCGTATGGAGGGATCACAGCCCGAAGGCCGGACTCTAAAATGGAAGAGTAGCTCTAGCACTGATCGGAGGCCTGTGCGACCGTGTCTCTTTTTAAAGCAACTGACTGAGAACAGCCATATCGAAAAGTCCGTTGAGCGCTATTCTGGGGTCTAGGGGTTATTTCTCAAGCAGAGACAAGGCCAATATCTCGACACGCCAGTAAGAAGGCATCCTACATTCGTCGGGAAACCTGAAACAATGAAGGAAGCACATTGCTGGTCAGTAACCACAGTCCCTGGCAGGAGACCATGTGTCGGCAATGAGCCCCAACCAGGAGCACATTTGCTGAATAGGGAAAATGATGGGCCCCCGTATGTCAAAGGGTCTTTTGTGCTGGTCTGGTCTGGACCCTCCTGACAATGAAAGGATTCATGAGAAATGACAAAAGGGGTTCACATGTACAATGAGACAGTGGCGAGGCCTGTGCCAGCCAGGGTAACAAGAACCGTACGAGAGATCCTCTGCACCATTTCATTCAGAGACTGATAAGGCGAATTAGTGTCTCGACGCCAATTATTGGACGTCCTGTGCCAGTAATCTGTTTGCATCAGCGAAGGCCCCTGCGCCGATCCGTTGCTGGATATCTCAGATAGAGAGCCAGCCGCATCGAGGAGGGGACCGGGCGTGATGCATCCCTCTGAAGCTCTCCGTACGGTCCTGTGGGCTATCACTGGACTAAAAGACGCGGGGGACTTTAGGATGAGACGTAATGTCTTCAGCTGCTGACCAGAACGTGTTACCAATGCGATTTAGTTGGCTGACTAGTTGATTTTCTGAACGGACTCAGCAGTTGCAGCATTACAAGGAGGAGAGATTGCGCCATTGTGACTTTCCACTTCGTCTTCCCGTAATCCGTCCCCGCTATCAATTTAAAAATTGCACAAGTGAAACATCCGGCCCGGGACACCCTTTACACGCATACCCATCGACTTCATAACGTGTTGGAAAGTACCGATTTCGATACGTGGTCATTTCCACCCGGCTGTTGACTATGCAAATACATGGAGCTTGTTCAAGTTAGGCGGACCATGGTGGATCCTCTCATTTTAAGGCTAAGTATTTAATATTTTGAACATGGCAACATACACTTAAATTGGCTGCTAAATACCACCAAAATTGAGCACAAGCTTCACTCCTAGTTTATTTACGGTTTGCCGGATGTTTGATGAGATCAGCTGATAGCTGAGGACTAATACAGAGTTTTTGCTCAGTTGCAAGGGAACACGGAATATCCTATCCTTCAAACCGTGTTAAAACGTAAGGTACAAGTATAAAAATCGTCGCAAACTCAATAAACAACGGAAATACGATGCACGACGTCGGCGGCGTGCAAATGATGTTCGACAATGGCAAGAACATCATCGACATTCATCAATCAAGAACATCAACATCAAGAACATCATCAACATCAACAAGAGCAACAACAACAAGAACAACATCAAGAGCATTCATCGGCGTAATCTGCATAGTCGGAAATTTAGTGATCAGACGGTAAGAAGTAAAGCCCCAATCAAAACGGGTCAGATTTAGGTCTCCGTCAACGGCGTAAGCCCTCCTATAATATAGGAAAACTCGAGACCAATCAGGACGGCACCTGAGCAATTCGAAAGTGCCGTAGCAGGCCAGCAAAGAGATTCCAGTCAACGGCGAATGGTCCCCATAACAGGCGAGAAGAGCCTAACACCAATATGGTTCCCTGAACGATCGGGAGCACCCCGGCAGGCTAACATATGGAGTGCAGCCGGAGTGCAGTATCCCCTGAACAAAGGACAATAACCGACGACCAGTGTAAAATGAATTAACGCCCCTGTGTGATCAAGAGTGCCCGGACAGGCTAACAAAGAGAGCTCTGACAAGTGAAGGGTCCTCAGCAAATAAGCTCAAAAAGGAAAGAGCCATTGGTCAATGAAGAGGGCCCCTGAGCATCGAGTGTCTTGGAGCGTTACCTTATAGTGGGCCCAGCAACAGCACGGGGTCATCCAAGCCCCATGTGGTGGAACAAATAAGTTGAAAGAACCCGATATGAAGAACCCGATACCAAGATGAAGGGCCCGTGAGCAGCCTAGTGTACCCCAGCATTTGGGGCCCTGGCAGCGGCGGCGGGACGGGAGAGCCCGCTTACCCCGCGGACGCAGCGGTCCCCGCCGAACCCACGCCGCCCGCCATGTCTCCGGCCGCGCCGCCGCCCGGCGCGTCTGCGACCAGTCTGCCGGTGAGCCCCGGTGCGCGGCCGCGCCCAGGCCGGACACGGTCGCCAGGCGTCTTGGCAATTTATAGAAACCATGCTTCACTATACGCGTCACGTGTTGCTGTTGTACAGGACTCAAAAATGCTTCTCTAGTGTTATTTAGCGGCAGGAATCCAAACTAGCCTGGTTGCCATGAATACTGGACGTCTTCAACACTGGATTTTACGACTCTGGACTTTGCGGCTCTAGTCGCTGCGTACCTGGACCTTATAAGTCCCCCAATGGGCACGGAACTGGACGCATTTTGGACGTTATTGACGCTGGATTCTGCGATTCTGGACGATATGATCACTGGATGTTTCGGTTGCACTCCAACTTTACTTTGTATTGGAATTTCATCCATTAGCCGTAAGCTTTCGTCCGTTAAGTTGGCCAAATTGCTTGTCTTTTATACGTTTTTTATGGAACTTCTTTCATCAGATTATGGTTATGGTATGCCTTGGCGCAAATGGCTTATCTGATGGGCTGTTCAGGGAACATACACAGGTGAATATAGAATGTTTCACAGACCACGGAAATCAGGATTATTCAACTTTCCCGATAACGATGGCAAGCTAATGTTTTAGAGCATAATGTCCGTGAAGTTAGCGATTTATTCGGCGATTGGTCAAGCGATGAGCTCGGACTTCTCTGAAAATAGGGCAGGTGGTCAAATACAGCAAAAATCATCAAAAATGATATTTATTTTGCAATACAATGCGATCCTCAAGGTCAAAAGCAAGGTCTTACGACGCGAACTCTATATCACCAAAAAATATCCTACTGATTTTGAATTTGCAAACATTGAAATATTTTCAGGCGCAAGAACTTGCGTCACAAATTTGTGACCTATCGGCCATCTTTCAAGGTCAGATTCAGGCTTAAAGGCCGGGAAACTCGATATAATACAAAATTTCGGCCAATTTAAACTTTTCAAGCTTCAGAATGTTAACAAGGGCAAGAAGTAGCGTCCACGAAAAAGTCCTGATCTTTTAAAGTCACCGTTCAGGGTTAAATTCAGGGTCCAAGGGGAGCCATCGAAAGGTCCAGGATCGCGGCATCCACTGTTCATATCGTCCCGAGAAAACGTCCAATTCCGTGCCCATTGGGGGCGTTCATGAGGTCCAGGGACGCAACGTCCACAGTCGCAAAGTCCAGAGTCGTGAAGTCCAGTGTTCAAAACGTTCAGTATCCATGACAACCAAGCTTATTTGGATTCTTGCCGCTAGATAACACTACAAAAGCATCTTTGAGTCCTGCCGCTACTTCCCTCTTTTGTCAACAGACGGCACAGTCAAACTGGATTCCACTGACCACGTGATGCGTACAGTGAAGCATGGTTACTATAAATTGCCTAGGCGCCTGGCAACCGTGTCCGGCGTGGGTGCGGCCGCGCCCCGGGGCTTACCGACGGACTGGGCCCAGCTCGGCGGGGACCGCTGCTCCTGCGAGATAAGTGGGCTCTCCCTCACCGCCGCTGCTGCCTGGGTCCCAAATGCCAGGGTACACGCGGTGACTCAGGGGCCCTTCATATTTGTATCGGGTTCTTTCCACTTGCTTGGAGTACCCCGTGCTGTTGCTGGGGTCCCATATAAGGTAACGGTCAGAGGCACTCGATGCTCAGGGGCCCTCTTCATTGACCTATGGCTCCTTCCTTTTTTGGATTATTTGCTGGGGATCCTTCACTCGTCAGAGCTCTCTCTGTTAACCTGACCGGGCAACCTTGATCACACAGGGGCGTTAATTCATGTACACTGGTCTTCGGCTAGTGCCTTTGTTCAGGGGATCCTGTACTCCGGCCGGACCCTATATGTTAGTCCTGCCGGGGTGCTCCCGATCGTTCAAGCGTCCCACCATATTGGTGTCAGGTTCTTCTCGCTTGTTATGAGGACCCTTCACTGTCACTAGAGCCTCTTTTTTGAAATGCCACGGCATTTTCGATTGCTCAGGTGCCGTCCTGATTGGTCTCGGGTTTTTCACTACAGGAGGGCCTACGCCATTGACGGGGATCTAAATCTTAATTATTTTTATTTGGGCTTTACTTCGTACCGACTGATGACTGAATTTACGGCTGTGCCGATTACACCGATGAATTCGTTGTTGTCATTGTCGAACATAATTTTACACGCCGCCGACGTCGTGCATCTTATTTCTATTTCTATTGAATTTGTGACGATTGTTATGTGTTACGATTTGTGACGATTGTAATTTGTGACGATTGTTATACGTTATCGTTACGTTTGAATATATTTTTTGAGGATAGAATATTCTGTATTCCCTTGTAACAGACAAAGCAAAACTTTGCATTAGTCCCCAGCCATCAGCTGGTCTCATCAACTACCCGGCTAACCATGTATAAGCTAAGAATGAAGCTCGTGCTTGATTTTGATTGTATATAGGAGCCAATTTAAGTGTATGTTGCTATGTTTTCGTCGAAATACTTAGCCTTAAAATGACAGAATTCATTATGATCCGACGAAAATGAACAAACTCCATGTATTTGTATACAAAGCACGCCTAGTTTGCTAGGTTGTGCGCAGTAAGCTAGGTTCTCGTATACGAACTGCACACATAAGAATATTAAAACTTAATGACCGGAATACAAGGATATTTGCTGGATACAGACCTGCACTCTAGGGAGCCCGCAAAGGAAGAGGCCTTCTTCAGTTTTGTAGCATTTTCGCAGTGGACATGTGTGGAGATATAGTTACCAGTGAAGTTTACTACACTAAACTACTACTACTGCTTTCCGATCGTTCCAATATTGTGTAATGTATGCCCGACCGGTGCTTTTCACCGATGGCAATAGCGTTATATAATGATATATACAGATATCGAGAGAAGAGAGAGAAGAGGAGAGAGAGAGAGAGAGAAGAGAGAGAGAGAGAGAGGAGAGAAGAGAGAGAGAGAGAGAGAGAGAGAGAGAAGGAGAAGAAGAGAGAGAGAGAGAGAGAGAGAGAGAAGAGAGAAGAGAGAGAGAGAGAGAGAAGAAGGAGAGATAGACGAGAGAGAGAGAGAGAGAGAGAGAGGATAGAGCGAGAGAGAGAGAGAGGAGATAGGAGAGGAGAGA